CTCCAACATTTAGAGGACCAAAAGTTGAAGCAAAACCAATAGGCAAGAAGGACTGGTGAAGAAAGTCAAGTGTTTGGGGGAGAGAGGGAGAAATCTTAGAAGTAAAGTGAAAGAAATTATTTCAAGAAGTAGGATGTACTCACATTGGTCAAATACTTCTAAAAGGCAAAGTGAGAACAAAAAAATTTTCTGCCAGGGGGGCTGGGAAGGTGGCTCAGTGGTAGAGTGCTTGCCTTGCATGCCTGAGGCCCTGGGTTCCATTCCTCAGCACCACATAAGCAAAAAGAAAAAAGCCGGAAGAGGCGCTGTGGCTCGAGTGGTAGAGCACTAGCCTTCAACTGAAGAGCTGAGGGACAATGCCCAGGCCCAGAGTTCAGGCCCCACAACCGGGCACCCCCCCCCCCAAAAAAAAATTTCTGCCAGGTCTGGAAAGGATGTTTTTTGGTAATTTTGACCAAAGGAAAGTTGATACAACAGGTAAGGAAGTCTAAGAGGAATAGGGATAAAGAGGAAACCCACTCCTTAACAATGCCTAATGTGGCCCTACCTCAGGGCCTGTACAGTTGCTATATCTCATCTTCCTGGCATATCTACCTCCCCTCCATCCCTCTAGACCTTTCCAAAAATCTGCAATCACAAAATAAGTACCTTTCTCCATTAATTATTTTAGTTTACCTTTTCTTTTTCTTCTCTCTTTATTATGTTACTAGCTACATACTACCTGTACAAATTAAGGGTTTCACTGTACATTTCATACTTCTATCTATCTTTTACTGATCCTGTGCACTTCACTTCTTTTGTTTTTTTTAATTTTGGAGGAACTAGGGTTTGAGCTCAGGACTTGAGTTTTCTAGGCAGTTACTCTACCACTTGAGCCACAACTCCAGCCTAAGCTTGCTTTAACAGCACTTAGCAAAACTAAAAATCCTATGATTTTACCATTTGTGTGCTTGTTTGTCTATCTCCACTGAGATAAGACTACGGTAAGTCAAGAAATAATGTACTACGGCTGGGAAGGTGGCTCAGTGGTAGAGCACTTGCCTTGCATGCTCGAGGCCCTGGGTTCGATTCCTCAGCACCACATTAGAAAAAAGCTGGAAGTGGCGCTGTGGCTCAAGTGGTAGAGCACTAGCCTTGGGCTGAAGAGCTGAGGGACAGCGCCCAGGCCCAGAGTTCAGGCCCCATGACCAGACCCCCCCCCCCAAAAAAAGAAATAATGTACTACAACTATTTAAAGATAATAAAAGTAAGCTTGAAAAAGAATGTATAACAACTTTTAGGGAATTTACAGTTTTCTAAGTATATCATTCTTAGAAAATCTGCACAATGACTTATAACCTCAGTGGGAAATTTCCCATATAGTAACAAAGTTGGTAACTTTGTAATCATTGGCAAATGTCCTTACTACTCTTCGGCCACAAGGTTTACTATTTGTTGACCCCAGGTCCTCTGCTTATAACCCATTATGTGATTTTTATCACAGAGCATTTTCATTTTAACCTAACTTTGGAGAAAAACTATGCTAGCAAAATTCATGTTCATCATCAATTTTTCCATACTGAAATCAAAGCATGAAGTACATAATAAAAATAAAGAAATAGAGGTCATCTCAAAGTTCTCAGGAGAAATGAAAGTTATAGGGTATTTTCAATTATAACTCTACTCCAATTCCTATCTCACATGGAAACCAAGATGAAAGACATGCCTTCCGGTCCATAAAGGAACTCAGTCTGTGATTCCGGCCCCTGATAAAGTCAGAGAATGACATCTGATTCTTTATAAGGGTTTCACTAAATAATAAATTATTTCTAATTATCAGACATTTCACATTTTGTAATATACCACTTCTTTCTTGACAAGTAATCTTTAGCTTGAGTCTTTAGCTTTTTTAGTGATTCCATGTTTAGACCAAGTATGTTTGTGTGGATGTGTAGGCTGATTTGGAAACTTTCTGGGGGGTACTGGTCTTACTATTTTCAGTCAGGACACAAAAGGTCCTTGGGTTTAAATCCCCATTAATCATTTCTTAATTGGTTTATAACCTGCCAGTAAAGTTCTGCCACAGCTTGTCACTGGATTAAATAACAAAGAGAATTAGAATAATCTGTTTCTCGCTTACAATCTAATTTATTTTTGTTTCGATGGTACTAGAGTTTAAACTCAGAGCCTTGTACTTGCTAGGCAAGTGTTGCTCTACTGCTTAGTCACACATCTAGCCCAGTTTTTCACTGGTTATTTTTGAGATACATTCCTTCCAGGAATTTGCCTGAGCATTGATTACACTACTTTAGACTTCCAATTTTTGCTGTGATGACCAGAGTATACTACTGAGTCTGGCTGAGATGGAGTCTTGCAGACTTTTCTGTGAGGGCAGGTGTAGAAACAGGATGTTCCCATTCTGTCTTTTACGTAGCTTGGGACGATAGGCACATACTACTATGCCCAATTATTGGTTAAGGAATTTCTCAAACTTCTCTACCTGGGCTGCCCTCAAACTAGGAGAGTCTGTCTCCAAGTAGCTAGGATTACCAGTGTGAACCAACGATGCCCAGCCAATAATCTTCTCTTTGGTACAGTTTTAGGTAATAATTAAAATATAGCTACCATATTGTATACCTTTTTGATATTAATGAAGTATTCCTTTTGTTTTGGGAAGAGGGATGAGTGTTTTGAAAAACCTATTTAATCTACATGCAAGCTTAAAAAAAAAAATCAACTGTGGCCATTGGAGTAAAAAATGAGCGAGAGGGGGCTGGGAAGGTGGCTCAGTGGTAGAGTGCTTGCCTTGCATGCATAAGGCCCTGGGTTCAATTCCTCAGCACCACATAAGCAAAAAGAAAAAAGCTGGAAGTGGCTCTATGGCTCAAGTGGTAGAGCGCTAGCCTTGAGCTGAAGAGCTGAGGGACAGCGCCCAGGCCCAGAGTTCAGGCCCCACGACCAGATTAAAAAAAAAAAAAAAAAAGAATGAGCGTGAACTAATACTGAACATGATTAACATCTACCAAACTGAACGATATGCAGGGAAAAGGAATAGATTTTTTGTTTTTTATTTGGGGGGGGGGGGGGCAGTCTTGGGGCTTGAACTCAGGGCCTGGGTACTGTCCCTGAGCTTCTTTTGTTCAAGGCTAGCATACCACCACTTGAGCCACAGCTCCATTTCTGCCTTTTTTTTTTTTTCCTGTGTATGTGGTACTGAGGAATTGAACCCAGGGCCTCATGCATGCAAGACAAGCACTCTACCACTAAGCCACCTTCTCAGCCCCAAGGGATCTTATTGTTAAAAATGCTATAGACTCAGCATAGTGGTTCATACCATAATCCTAACTACTCATAAGGCAGAGATCAGAACCATTATGTTTCCAAGTATGGGCAAAAGTTAGTAAGATGCTCATCTCAACAAATAAGCCAGGCTCAGTGGCACAAAAAGGACAGGGAGGATAATTGTGGCCTGAGGCTGGTCCTGGTAGTATTAAAAAACAAACAAGCAAAACAATCAGCAAGCCCTTATCCAAAAAATAAAGACAAATGAGGTAGAGTGGCTTCTTAGTAAGCAAGAAGCCCTTAGTTCAACATGCAGTACTGCCAAAAATAAAAAATGTAACATCTAAAACAGGTAATTCATTCAAAAAAATCTTATTTTGAATACCTACAAAATACCTACAATATGCTGTACAGTTTTCTATGTGCTGGAAACACAAAAGGAAATACATCTCCATCTCCTGGAATTTATCTTTTCAGTGTGAAAAAGAAACAAGGCAAATAAATAAATGGAAAGATATTAGGAGCTAGTAAGAACTATCTCTACATTCTAAGATCATGTATGTATTATGAAGAAAAATATGAAAAAGGAGATAGTGTTTAAATGAAGTACTTGTATCCAAACAGGTGGCCTATGTGTTTTATGACAGGGTAGATTTTTGTTGTTGTTGTTGGTCATGGGGCTTGAACTCTGGGCCTGGGTGCTGTCCCTCAGCTCTTCAGTTCAAGGCTAGCGCTCTACCACTTGAGTCACAGTGCAACTTCCAGCTTTTTCTGCTTATGTGGTGCTGAGGAATCAAATCCAGGGCCACATGCATGCAAAGCAAACATTCTACCACTGAGCCAACTTCCCAGGCCCAGCGTAGATTTTATAATATAACAAGACTTCTTTTTTATAATCAATCTTTAAACATATTCACACAGAATATAACTTTAAAGTTTTGTTTTTGAGGTAGGGTCTTGGTATATTGCCCAGGCTAGTCTCAAACACCTAGGCTCAAGCAACCATCCTGCCCTAGCTTCCACAGCAATTGGTATCAAAGAATAGGACACCTTTCTAATTTAAAATAAAAAGGTTTTTGTTTTTTTGTTTTTGCCAGTCCTGAGGCTTGAACTCTGGGTCTGAGCATTGTCCCTAAGCTTTTATGCTCAAGACTAGGGCTCTACTTCTTGAGCCACAGCTCTACTTCTGGCTTTTTGTGGTTAATTGGTGATAAGAGTCTCATGGACTTTCCTGCCTGGGCTGGCTTCTAACCAGGATCCTTAGATCTCAGTCTCTTGAGTAGCTAGGATGAAAAATGTGAGCCACTAGCCTCCGGCAAAGATTTAAAAAGTGAATTATTAGTGATCTTCACTCTACCACTCTACCACTTGAGCCACAGCGCCACTTCCAGCTTTTTTTTTCTGCTTATGTGGTGCTGAGGAATCGAACCCAGGGCCTCAGGCATGCAAGGCAAGCGCTCTACCACTGAGCCACTTTCCCAGCCCTAGAAATTAATTTCTATCGTTAATATGCCAAGCAAGATGTAACAATGCTTCATTTTGTTTTCCTATATAACAAACAGAATACTAAAAACTTATATGTACATAGAAAAGCTCATTTCCCATTTTTTAAAAGAAGGTATCAATTTTACAAGATAAAATGCATATAAACTATTATTATACTCTGGTTACCTGTTACTTCTATTTAGATAAAAAGTTTATAAATTGCAACCTGGCAACTTCAACAGAATAAAGCTTACCTTCAGACTGGTATGGGAACGTGGTTGACTTAATTCCTGAAATTTCCACTGCTCTGATCCTGGGGTCTCACCTCCTTTCTGAGTGTCAGGTGTAAGCAATCCATCTCCAGCAGGTAATGGGAAAATCCCTAATGATATAGGGCGTTCTTTTCTATTTGAAGAGGAAAGAAAAAAATTAAACATTCACTTATTTTTATTTTGCCACTGGTTTGTCACAATTTTGTAATAAACAGTGATTCTTAAGTCATACTGTCTGTCTGTCCAGCTGAATAAGTGAACTTGCCAAAGAAAAGTCTACGAAGGGCTGGGAAGGTGGCTCAGTGGTAGAGCACTTGCCTTGCGTGCTCGAGGCCCTGGGTTTGATTCCTCAGCACCACATAAGCAAAAAGAAAAAAGCTGGAAGTGGCGCTGTAGCTCAAGTGGTAGAGTGCTAGCCTTGAGCTGAAGAGCTGAGGGACAGCGCCCAGGCCCAGAGTTCAGGCCCCACGACCGGACCCCCCGCCCCCCCCCCAAAAAAAAAGAAGAAGAAAAGTCTACGAAATTTAAATCAGCCTCAGAAATTAATTTAGAAAAATGTCAAGAAAGTTTAAGAAATATGGCTAAGTTACTGATAATTCTTCCCCTGGTCTAGCCTAGTTTCACTTGAAGTGTTATGGAGCAACTGCAGCCTTTTCCTTTAAAGGAGCCCAGCCTAGGGCTGGGAAGGTGGCTCAGTGGTAGAGCGCTTGCCTTGCATGCCTGAGGCCCTGGGTTCGATTCCTCAGTACCACATAAGCAAAAAGAAAAAAAGCCAGAAGTGGTGCTGTGGCTCAATTGGTAGAGCACTAACCTTGAGCTGAAGAGCTGAGAGACAGTGTCCAGGCCCAGAGTTCCGGCCCACGATTGGACCCCCCCAAAAATAATAAATAAATAAAGGAGCCCAACCTCTGCTCCTAGATATCCCACAGCCTCATGCTAGTCCCCAAGTGTTTGCTGAAGCCTCTTCAGCCCAGTAACCCTTTCTGCCTAGACAGAAATCGGTATACAAATTGAATCAAGGCTATTAATTAAATGGCAAAAAGAACTAAAAAAGATTTTTCTCTTTCCTAGAGTAGAAAAGTTGTATTGTTCCATATACCACACTATAGGGGTCCCTTTCAGGAATAATACATAAGAGAAATACTGAGTTTTCTTCCATACAAGCAGCCCCCAAAATTCTATGAAAGAATTGTTGACTATCAATGTTTTATGGAAAATTTCAATAGACAAAACTTATCATTTTAATAATAATAAAATTTCAACAAGAAACATGCTTTGTTGATCTAAAGTTTCCAAATGCAAATGCTTTTAAAAGGATAGAAATGAAGTTACTATAACAGTTGATAATTCATCATTTCTTTACACTAAAATGCAGGTAGGAAGAACAATAAGAGACAGGATTTGGGGGCTTGGAAGGTGGCTCAGTGGTAGAGCGCTTGCCTTGCATGCATGAGGCCCTGGGTTTGATTCCTCAGCATCAGATAAGCAGAAAAAGCCAGAAGGGGCACTTTGGCTCAAGTGGTAAAGCACTAGCCTTGAGCTGAACAGCTGAGGGACAGCGCCCAGGCCCAGAGTTCAAGCCCCACAACCGACAAAAAAAAAAAAAAAAGAGAGAGAGAGGATTTTAATACTAAATCTGTTTGTACCAGAACAATAATTTTATTAAATTAAGGTAGCCATCTATTCAATTTTCTATCATTTATCACTGATCCATACCCCATGCTAGTCAGCAACAAAGTTTATTTTTAGCAACAAAGTTTTTATAAAGTCAATGTCAAAAAGAGGCATCATTTGTTATTTCTCTACTAAATAATACAGTAATATATTTGACATGTCAACAGTTCCATAATGTGGAACTTGTTCCTTATTTTATTTTATTTTTCTGGGGGGGGTCCGGTCGTGGGGCCTGAACTCTGGGCCTGGGCGCTGTCCCTCAGCTCTTCAGCTCAAGGCTAGTGCTCTACCACTTGAGTCACAGCGCTACTTCCGGCTTTTGTTCCTTATTTTAAATTATATCTGTTCTGCTTCTTTAATTTTAAAATGTCCTTTCTTTTTATTAAAGAATGTATAGGTGTTGATAGTGAGGTTTTCTCCTCCCCAAATCAAAAATGAAAAGTTGTCAATCTGATATTTATCTTAAATTTTGAGAAGAGAAAATCCAAGGGTCTAAGACTACTAGTTGACCTCTATTTTCTTTTATTTTTTTATTTTTAAGTAGTTGTTCAAAGGAGTTGCCATTCAACAAAGCATTTTATGAATACATTGTGCCTGGTCAATGTTACTCCTTTCAACATTCTTACCCCTCCCTCTCAACCTCCTTGACCTCCATGGTATAACATCTCTTTTCAAGAGTTAAGTAAAAAGTGACTGGGAATTTAATCAGACTCAAGTCTAATGGAAAGCTTTATAACCCAAAATACAAAGGTAACTAGGAAGACAACAGACTGCAAATGAATTATCACACTGCAAACAAATCAAAATATAAGCTACATATTACAGTATCTTCTTATATACTACCAACACATTTTCATATATATTAATTACCTTAAAAAAAAATAAAGCGGGCCGGGTGCTGGTGGCTCATGCCTGTAATCCTAGCTACTCAGCAGGCTGAGATCTGAGGATCGCGGTTCAAAGCCAGCCCGGGCAGGAGAGACTGTGAGACTCCTATCTCCAATAAACCACCAGAAAACCGGAAAGTGGTAGAGCGCTCGCCTTGAGCTGAAGAGCTGAGGGACAGTACCCAGGCCCAGAGTTCAAGCCCCACCACCACCAACAAAAAAAAAAACCGGGGCTGGGAAGGTGGCTCAGTAGTAGAGCGCTTGTCTTGCATGCATGAGGCCCTGGGTTCGATTCCACACCACCACATAAGCGGGAAGTGGCGCTGTGGCTCAAATGGTAGAGCGCTAGCCTTGAGCCGAAGAGCTGAGGGACAGCACCTAGGCACAGAGTTGAGACCCCACGACTGGACCAAAAAAAAAGCTTTAAATGGTTGGAGGTATTAATTCAGGCCTACCTTTCCTACTAAATCTACAATTCAAAAAACAGGTGCAGGTGGCTCATGCCTATAATCCTAGCTACTCAGGAGGCTGAGATCTGAGGATCGAGGTTCAAAGCCATCCTGGGCAGTAAAGCCCGTGAGACTCTTATCTCCAATAAACCACTAGAAAACCAGGAAGTGGAGCTGTGGCTCAAGCAGTAGAGTGCTCGCCTTGAGCTGAAGAGCTGAGGGACAGCGCCCAAGCCCAGAGTTCAAGCTCCAGGACCGCCCCCCACCCCCCAAAAAAATGCTTTAAATGGTTGAAGGTATAAATTCAGGCCTAACTTTCCTACTAAATCTGCAGTTCAAAATACAAGTAGAAGCAGTGCCAGTGCTCATGCTATTCAGGAGGTTGAGATCTGAAGATCTCAAAGCCAGCCTGAGCAGGAAAGTATATGAGACATTTATCTCCAATTAACCACCAGAAAACCAGAAGGGGCATTATGACTCAAAGTGGTAGATTATTAGACTTGAGCAATAAACCTTGGGGATAGCAGCAAGCCTCAAGTTCAATCCCCACAACTGACCCAAAAAAGAAAAAAGAAGTTAGAATTCCCAACTTTTTATTTTGCTTTTTTCAGTCATTCAGAGAAACTGCTCTGTAGTAACAGGACTTCTCTTCAGATACTAATTAACAGTCTGACAATAGGGCCAATAATGCTTTGCATTACTCTCTGGAAAAAAAGTGTGCTGCCATATACTCCTCTTGTTATTGCGTTACTAAATTACACACATGAGTTGAGGGGAGGAAAAAAAGGCATGTAATTATGCAAATTCAACAGAATTTTACTTTTAAAAAGAAACAGAAGAAAACTGTAGTGCTATACTATATTGGTAGGCATCTTTGCTACTGCATGTATTTGTCACAAAAATAACGAGAGAGAGAGAGAAAGAGAGAAAGAGAGAAAGATAGAAAGAGAGAGAGAGAGAGAGAGATCTGTAGAAAAATACCAACAGGCAGATTTATACCCCAAGACTGAAACACTAGCTATCACTCTCTAGTAATACTACTGGCTAATATATATAAAAACAAAGCTATCATCAACTGTTTCCAATTAACCATCAAAAAGCTGGAAGTGAAGATGTGGTTCATATGGTAGGGGGCTACCCTTGGACACAAAAGTTCAAGGACAACACCCAGGCCCAGAGTTCAAGTCTTGGGCCTGGCACAGTAAAATATATACATACATACTTCATAGATATGTCTACTTTAAAGGATGCATTTGTTGAACACTCACCAGGTGTTCAGGTACTGATCCAGATAATTTATTAACTTATCTCTTTTAATCCATACCAGAACATTGGGATTACTTTTCTGGTTTTCAGAGTAGAAATAATTATGCTCAACAACTTTAAGTAATAGTAACTGGCCAGGATTAAAAGCCAACTTTAGCAAGGCCCTTGTGGCTCCACCTATAATCCTAGCTACTCAGGAGGCTGAGATCTGAAAGATCAAGGTTTACAGCCCAGGCAGTAAAGTCTGTGAAACTCTTATCTCAAATTAACTACCTAAAAACCAGAAGTGGAGCTGTAGCTTCAAGTGGTGGAGCAGTAGACTTGGGCAAAAACTCTGGGACAGCGCCCAGGCCCTGAATTGAGTTCAAGCCCTACATAGGATCAAAAACAAAAATAAAGTCAGCTCTGGTTAAAAAAAAAGGTGACTATGAAATCAATATGATTGTGCAATTTACTATATACATATATAATTTAATTAAATGCAAATCTAATCTCACTTTTGGGGAGGATGAGGGGGGTATCAGTCATGGGGCTTGAACTCAGGTCCTGGGTGCCATACCTTCTTTTTTTAAAAGATCCAATGAGATTTAAGTACCTTCAGAGGAAAAAAGTCAAGCACAGAGAGCGTAAATTGCCAAAGGTCCAAATACTGCTCCCCAGGGGCAGAGCAGTCCAACTCCAAAGCCCCTCTTACCCACTTCCTGGCACTGCCTTCTCAAATGGATCTTAGTTTAATAATTTTATGCTGGGTGCCAGTAGCTTACACTTGTAATCCTAGCTACTCAGGGGACTGAGTTCTGAGGTTTACAATTCAAACCCAAATCAGGTAGACAAATCTATGACACTCTTATCTCCAACTAACCAGCAAAAAGTGAAGGTGTCACTCACCAGACCAACCTTGAGTAAAAACCCACTCAAGAAAGAAAGGTCAGTGGCTCTGTGGCTCAAAGTGGTAGAGCACTAGTCTTAAGCAAAAGAGCTCCACAGGACAGTGTGCAAGCCTTGAGTTCAAACCCCATGACTGACCCAAAGGGGGGAAAAAAAGAAGAATTGCTAAGAAAGAAAGGTCTTGCTGGGGCCAGTAGCTCACACCTATAATCCTAGCTACTCAGGAAGCTGAGATCTGAGGATCACGATTCAAAGCCAGCCCAGGAGGGAAAGTCCATGAAACTCTTATCTCCAATAAACCACCAGAAAACCGCAAGTGGCGCTATAGCTCAAGTAGTAGAGCGCTAGCCTTGAGCTGAAGAGCTGAGGAACAGAGCCCAGGCCCAGAGTTCAAGCCCCACAACTGATCACACACACACACACAAATTTGCCCAGGCCCTGAGTTCAAGCTCCATGGCCAACAACATCAAATAATGATAATAATAATAATTTTATTTTTTTCTTGAGTCTATATATTTTTTAGTTCCTTAAAGCCGCAATATACAGATCTATATGCAAATCTTTTGTACTAATAATACATACAAGTAATTAGAGCCGTTCCTGAGTTTTTATTAACCAGGAAGGAGCTAGGCATAGTGGTGTATGTATAGACAAGAGAACTAGGAATTTGGGGGCTAGCCTGGGCACTACTTAAGAGTTCTAGGCTAGGCTGAGCTCCATATACTATCTCTAAATAAATAGAAAGATAATACACACATATATACATAATTCAACACTTAGTTAAGACTGTAGATGGAATCTAATTTGTGTCTTTAATTAAAATTGAATATGAACTGGCCTACAAAAGAAAAGGAACACATTGAAGGACCTAACTACTTGAATTGTTCTTAATTTATCTAAGTCCACAATTAGTATTTACATATTTTGTAACTGTTTAAATAATTCTGAACCTTCTTTTAAAATCATGTACAAAACAGAAATCTGAACAAACCAGATACTTTGAGTTTGATAAATTACAAAACATTAAAAGCCCAAACTGTAAGCCTCTAAAATGCAAAAGATGGCTCTTACAAGCTACAAGCAGAGCGAACAGCAATAAAGCTACAGAGATTAATGACTAACCCCACAAATAGGCATGGGTATTTATCATCCAGGACTACAAAGAAAAGAAAGGGTGACATCTGACCCAACAATAGTGAATAGGCTTTGCAAAGCTTTCCCAACTTTGATGTGCGGAAATGCACTGCTGCCCTAAAAAGTTGAAATTCTTTTACTTTAAAATATATTTTATTTTAGGAGGAAAACATTTAAATTTTTGCTTCCTGTGAGATGTTATTAAAATTGTAAAATTTTAACTTAATAGCAAAACCTCCATCAGGCAAAGGATAAAAATTAGAACAAAATTAATCCATGGCCTATGACTAATTTTTTGCAAGATCTATCTAGCATAAAAGATATTTGTTCCTAAATGCTCAGAAGCTAAGCCCAGAGGTTGTACACACTTAAACCTGGTGCTCTACTCTTGCTCTCAGTTCACTCTTTGAACATTATCTCTAAAACAAGATCACAATGACCTTGTATAATATAAAAACCCTTTTCTTTGGTCAGAAATTTCTAAACACAAAGCAATATTCCTAAGTGGTGGCCTCCAAATTACTATAAATAGTAATAGACATTCTAGCTTCAGGCCATTTTCTATTGTTTCAATCTGCAATAGAAATGGTTACAAAGCAGACCATGGCAATAAAATTTCTTAAAACCAGCCACACAGGGGCTTCCAAAAGACTAGAGTACCTGAGTATCCTTGGTAGGTTCTGCGTCAGAGCTGGCACACCAGTAGAAATAGAAAAGTGCACAAGCAGCAAAACAGAGAGAGATACTAAGATAGCAGAATTAATGACCACCGCCCCGCCAACAAAGCCAAACACAAACAGCAGCATGCATCCAGGACTCATGGCGCTGTGCTGGCATGGTGAAACGTCCGAACCAGGAGGCCTACACGGGGGCCAAAGGAATATCTTTGTAGTGAGGATCTGTCATTCAGCTGCTGCCACAAAAACAATGCCATCAGCAGCAGCTTTCCACTCCATCCTGCAGCGGCTCCCAAGCGATGACGTCATTCCGCTATCCTCACCTCATAACCATAGAGCTGCTGCTCCTAGCATTTATGCAGCAATCCAGAGCGACAAGCAGCCTGTTAACTATTTTCCTCTCTAGTAAGAATCCGAGCTTAGCTCATTGGCTACAATGCTAAAGATCTACATAATTTATTCATGCTCCTACACCAAACAGATGGCTAGCTAATCCTTTCAAACATGCCTCTGCAACAGAAAGGACCAACAATATAGGAGAAATAAAAATATTTCTGCATTTCCACAAACTAGAAAATTTCATACCTAGTTTAATTTTCATTAAGTAACAAAAACAATCAAAATACTGTTTTGATATGCTGTTTATATAAGCATAGGTCACAATATGCCTTTTTAATAGTGAAGTTTCTTTCTATGTTTCCACGCTTTTCTCTCGTACAGCATTCCAACCACAGAGAGAGCTTTCTGAATCAGCCTAACTATTGTTCCAGGATTAAAGAACAAAAGAAACAAATAAAAAAGACATTATTTCACTTTTTCTCAAGGCAAAATGTACGATAAAAGCTTACCTAATTCTACTATGAGCTGTAGACTCTAGTTGATCACTCCCTGAGAGTTGATGAAGTTTTGTTCTTTCTAAGTGCTCCATGTAATTATGGATCATCTATTTTCAAAAAGAAAGAAAAATAAAACACAAAGTTTAAGGCTGGAATAAAATAAAGTATTATAATAAGCCAAACATTTTTGTATTATTCTTATTTATAAGATAACTCTCAATCCTATGTAGATTATTAAGAAATTAAAAAATTAATGGTAAAGGAATATGCAAATGATAAAATTTAAAAGATGCTAATGTTCATAAAAATAGCCAATTTCTTGCCTATCATAGCCAAAAAACTGTTAAGTGTATACCAAAATAATATTGGTATAAAGAGAAAAATAACAGCATTTGAGAAACTTTTTATTGAAATGTGAAATAAGTTAATGTGAAACTTCAGAAAAAGCCAAATTCTTAATGTGTTTCTTTTTCTCATGTTAAGATGGACTAGCAAAGATCATTTTTAATTTATTAATTGCAAACCAAGATGTTTATTTCTTGTTCTGTAGACTTAATTGAGAAGGCTAAAATATTTTTGTTTGCTAACTTACATTACTTAACATAATCATCTATAATAATAGCAACAAGTTAATGCAAGTGAAAAATACCAAAGCTTTTTGAGTTTTAGCTAAGGAAACATGACAAAAATGCTAACTATGGAATTAAAAAAAATTTCAAGAATATAAAGTACAAAAACTATTAAGAAATCATAAGATCTATATTTTCACATTTAAGGATCCTAAATTTAAAATTATGGCAAAAATATAAACATTTCAGGTACTAGTGGCTCACGCCTATAATCCTAGCTACTCAGGAGGCTGAAACCAGCCTGGGCAGGAAAGTACGTAAGATTTTTTAAATTTTTTTTTTTTTGCCAGTCCTGGGCTTGAACTCAAGGCCTGGGCACTGTCCCTGGGCTTTTGTTCAAGCCTCGTATTCTACCACTTGAGCCACAGAGCCACTTTTGGCTTTTTCTGTTTATGTGGTACTAAGGAATCAAACCCAGGGCCTCATGCATTCTAGGCAAGCACTACCACTAAGCCACATTCCTGGCCCTGTAAGTTTTATCTCCAATAAACTACTCAAAAAAGCCAGAAGTGGTGCTATGGCCCCCTTGAGCAAAAGAAGGGCAGGGACAGTGCCCAGGCCCAGGACTGGAAAAAAAAAAAAGGGAAGTGAACCAGTTTTGATCACAAAGGGGCCAGTGGTGTGCCTGCCTAGTTAGTATGTGGCAGGTTTGAGCCCAAGAACAGGTAAAAATAAAAGTCTGTGAGACTCTTATTTCCAATAAATTACACACACACACACACACACACACACACACACACACACACACACACACTAGAAGTAGAGGTGTGTCTCAAGGTTTGAGCCCAAGAACAGGTAAAAATAAAAGTCTGTGAGACTCTTATTTCCAATAAATTACACACACACACACACACACACACACACACACACACACACACTAGAAGTAGAGGTGTGTCTCAAGGTTTGAGCCCAAGAACAGGTAAAAATAAAAGTCTGTGAGACTCTTATTTCCAATAAATCACACACACACACACACACACACACACACACACTAGAAGTAGAGGTGTGTCTCAAGAGACCAAACCTACCAATTCTTCCAATAAATCACACACACACACACACACACTAGAAGTAGAGGTGTGTCTCAAGGTTTGAGCCCAAGAACAGGTAAAAATAAAAGTCTGTGAGACTCTTATTTCCAATAAATCACACACACACACACACACACACACACACACACACTAGAAGTAGAGGTGTGTCTCAAGAGACCAAACCTACCAATTCTTCCAATAAATCACACACACACACACACACACACACACACACACACACACACACACACACACACACACACACACACACACACACACTAGAAGTAGAGGTGTGTCTCAAGAGACCAAACCTACCAATTCTTCCTGCTTTGTTTGGTGGTTAATTGGAGATAAGAGTCTGTCTCATGGACTTTCCTGCCTGTTCTAGCTTTGCCTGTTTAGCTTTGAACAGATTTTCAGATCTCAAAATCCTGAATAGCTAGGATTATAGGCAAGAGCCACTAATACCTCACAATAATGTTTTTAGAAACCCTAACTTGAATTTTTTTTTTTTTGGTCGTGGGTCTTGAATTCTGGGCCTAGGCACTGTCCCTGAGCTCTTCAGCTCAAGGCTAATGCTCTACCACTTGAGCCACAACACCACTTTCTGAGTTTTCTGAGTGGTTTACTGGAGATAAGAGTCTCTGAGAGTTTCCTGCCCAAGCTGGCTCTGAACAATGATCCTCAGATCTCAGCCTCCTGAGTAGCTAGGATCTCAGCCTCTGAGTAGCCACCAGCACTAGGCTCTAACTTGAATTCTTAAAAAATCATTTTATTGGGGCTGGGAAGGTGGCTCAGTGGTAGAGTGCTTGCCTCACATGCATGAGGCCCTGGGTTCAATTCCTCAGCATCACATAAGCAGAAAAAGCCGGAAATGGCACTGTGGCTCAAGTGGTAGGGTGCTAGCCTTGAGCTGAAGAGCTGGGGGACAGCGGCCAGGCCCAGAGTTCAGGCCCATGACCGACAAAAACCAAATAATAAAAATAAAAAAATAGTTGGGCTGAGAAGGTGGCTCAGTGGTAGAGCACTTGCCTTGCATGCATGAGGCTCTGGGTTCAATTCCTCAGCACCACATAAAGAAAAAAACCGGAAGTGGCACTGTGGCTTAAGTGGTAGAGCGTTGGCCTTGAGCTGAAGAGCTGAGGGACAGCACCCAGGCCCAGAGTTCAGGCCTCACGACCGGACCCAAAAAAAATTTTTAAAATTAAAAAACAGTTTTATTGTTATTATAAAGGTGTTATACGGAGAGGTTATAGTTACATAAGTCAGGTAAAGAGTACATTTCTTGCTCTCTCCCAATTTTTCCCTTCTGTCCCCACACACAAGCTAATTTGAATTCTTAAATATTGCATAGTAATCATACAGAATTGATTTGTTCAAATGGAAGAATTTAAGTTTTACTTTAAGCATTTCAAAGGAGAAAACTGAAATTTCTCCCAGATTGCTTTTCTAGTAATTAATCTATTAACTCAATATAGAAAAGTAACTATAAATAAAATACAGAATTGTTTCCCTAAAAATAGTTCATTTTGGTTGATCTTCTATTGTCTTAAATGCTTAATATTTAAAATTTAGAAAAAAGCAAAATAAGACAAAAGTTTAGAAAACAGTGAATTCTAAACCTTTTTCCAATGATATGATATTCTAACATTTCAAAATGGTCCAAATTAATGAAATTACTGACTAAACTAAACTAGCACTCAATAGAAGAGGCTAACAACAAAATGACAGCTATCAATTTACTGAGCACCAATGTCCATTTTAGCCAGTCTATTTATAGCTATTTTTCATTTAATTATCACAACATCAGAGATAATCCCTAGCTGCAGATTAAAATAATTTTCCCAAGCCAATAAGCTAATAATTGCTTTCTGTCACTAGCATTGAGGCTACAACTGAGATCTATCACCCTCAATCATCTGAGCAGTTAAGCATTACCAGACTTATGCTGTATCTGTCCTTTTAGGTATTCTCTAAGCTGGCAATGAGCTCATTGTCCTTTCTGCCTCCCACAGGAAAACCCCACACTCAAAAGCATTTCCTGACATCTAAATTAATATGTATTATATTCTCTAAATGTACAAAAAAGGTAGAAAAAATAAACTACAAATAAAAATTTATTTTTTAATAATAGAATTTCAGAGTATGGGCTGCAGGCATGGCTCAAATTATAGGGCACCAGTCTTGAACAAGAAAACTAAGCAAGCTCAAAATCCCTGGGTTCAAGCCATGGTACTAGCAAAACAAAACAAAACAAAAAACAATAAAGAAACATATAAGCCTGTTTTTCAAAATAAAAGAACCAGTGTAACCAAATAATAAAAGAAGTTCAGCCTGGCGCCAGTGACTCATGCCTGTAATCCTAGCTACTCAGGAGGCTGAGATCTGAGGATCAAGGTTCAAAGCCAGTTGGGGCAGGAAAAGTCCATGAGACTCCAATTAACCACCAGAAAACCAGACGTGGCCCTGTGGCTCAAATGGTAGAGCACTAGCCTTGAGCTGAAGAGCTCAGGGGCAGTGCTCAGGCCAAGTTCAAGCCCCATGACAGACAAAAAAAAAAAAGTTTTCGTGTTACAAAAACCTACTTTGGACAATACAAAATAGAGGGAGAGCCTCTCAGGGCATGGATGAAGCTATGAAAACAGCAGTGTGGCAGGCAGCCTGAGAAAGTTGTCATGTTTACACACAGGCCTAGATCTTTGACCCCATAATAATGATTTTCCTGAGATCCTTCTTCCAGGTCTGACTGTTCTTCCCAAAAAGTGGAGAACCAGAAATATTTTCAGATGAAGTTGATGTCAGTTTGTTTTCCTGTAGAAACATATGCTCATGTTTGCAAAATAGTTGTGTGGAGGAAAAATATAAAATTTCACTTTAGAGTCTCTCAAGAATGTATATATTTTATATACACCTCAATTTTACACTAAATATTTGAATAATTGCTATTACAAACGTTAATTAAGGGGGCTGGGAAGGTGGCTCAGTGGTAGAGCGCTTGTCTTGCATGCAAGAGGCCCTGGGTTTGATTCCTCAGCACCACATAAGCAAGAAAAAGACAGAAATGGCGCTGTGGCTCAAGTGGTAGAGCACTAGCCTTGAACTGAAGAGCTCAGGGACAGTTCCCAGGCCCAGAGTTCAGGCCCCACAACAGACAAAAAGAAAAAAGAAAAGAAAAGAAAAGGGGAAAAAAGTTAATTAAGGCCGGTGCCAGTGGCTCATGCCTGTAATCCTAGCTACTCAGGAGGCTGAGATCTGAGGATCGTGGTTCAAAGCCAGCTGGGGCAGAAAACTCCATGAGACTCTTCTCTCTAATAAACCACCAGAAAAACAGAAGTGGTGTTGTGGCTCAAGTGGTACAGCGCTAGCCTTGAGCTGAAGAGCAGAGGGACAGCGCCCAGGCCCACAGTTCAAACCCCACGATGGGGGGGGGTGGGGGGGGTGAGGGAG